GGGACGAGGACGATGACATCAAGTCCCGCGTCAAGCAGCGCTTTAAGAGGGAGTCTGACGACTTTTTGGGCCAGACTATCATTGAGGTCCGGACCCTAAGCGGGGAGATGGACGTCTGGTACAACCTCGGTAACCGGCTGTTACAGCGCTGCCTGCTTGGAGCCCCGGGCACCCCAGGCCCAGCGCTCCCGGCGTGATGTTCGGGTGGTCAGGCCCCTGCAGCCATGTGACGTGGAGGTCGTTTTTATCACATTAGTGTAGAGGCTGATATGAAAAACATTATTTAATATCCAAAGCCTGCTGTGATGAAGCATTTTCCCTGGGTTAGTCTCAAAACACTTTGCCCCCAGAGATCTGGAGCACTGGGCACCTACAGAAGGGGAAACTGAGGCACAGAGCTAGGCCACACACACCCAGAATGGTTTGGCAAGCTGAGAGTTTAGTCCAGTTTTGGTCCAAATCCCCTGTTATAATCGTACCTCAGCAGCATCATATCTAGGCCTGGTGGTGGTAGGTGCTGTACGGCCCTGGCCCAGAGAGCCCCTCCACAGTGGAACTGCAGACGTCTGCCCCATCTCATGGGCTGGGAGCAAGCTGAAGGTGCCCTCCATCACCCTGTGCAAAGGGATGGGGGGACCCTCATGTCTCACCCCTCTCTCTGCCCTTCCTAGACAAGCGGACGGACAAGTCGGCCGTGTCTGGAGCCATCCGGCTGCACATCAGCGTGGAGATCAAAGGCGAGGAGAAGGTGGCCCCGTACCATGTGCAGTACACATGCCTGCATGAGGTAGGCAGGCAGTGCAGGCTGCTGGGGCTGGCGCGGGACCTGGGCCGTGCACGAGCTGGAGCCCCGTCTCCGGTGGCAACTCCTGCTCTGCAGCGCTGGCCGCGGTGGGCCCGTCCCCACCGTGCCACCACCAGTGACCTGAAGGGACTCTCTCGTGCCCCAGAACCTTTTCCACTTCGTAACGGATTTGCAAAACAATGGAGTGGTGAAGATCCCCGACGCCAAGGGCGACGATGCCTGGAAGGTGTACTTTGACGAGACGGCGCAGGAGATTGTGGATGAGTTTGCCATGCGATACGGTGTGGAGTCCATCTACCAGGCCATGACGTGAGTTCCTCGCCCCATGCATGCCCATGGGACATTCCCTGTGCATGCCCATGGGGCCCCTTCTCTGTTGTGTGCTAGGCGGCAGCACCCAGCCCACCCTTTGCAGCACCTAATATCCCTTGGCACCCCGATGTGCCTTGCTGAGCACGGGTGAACCCAGGTGGCTGCAGGCAATGCCCGGAGCACGCTGCGCTCCTACGTCACTCCACACCTGCACACACATTTCCCGCGCATCTTGCTGTGCGACTCCAGCACCCTGCTCCCCTCAGCTTGCCTCTCTCTGTCCCTTTTCCCCCACCAGGCATTTTGCCTGTCTCTCCTCTAAATACATGTGTCCGGGGGTGCCGGCAGTGATGAGCACGCTGCTAGCCAACATCAACGCCTACTATGCACACACCACCGCCTCTACCAACGTCTCCGCCTCTGACCGCTTTGCTGCTTCCAATTTCGGGGTAAGTCCGATGGTGCGTAAACACTCCTTCCTTCTTCTCTCTTCTCTTGGGGAGGGGGCGGGGGGGTTCATGGGGCAAAAAGAGCCGTGCAAAACACCTCCCCTCCAAACTGCAGCCAGTCAGCGGGGCTTTGGCCACTCTGTGCCAAGATAAAGCCACCTCCTGTTTTTCAGGAAGGAAATTAGCCACCCTCTTCTGAGAGAAGGTCTAAATTTGCTCCTCAAATTATTATGGTGAAACTTTGATTGCAATTAGACCTGGCTTTGACTAATGGACGACAGCGCACTGCAAATCCCCTCCTGTCGCTGGCAGCCCCCAGATGCTGCCGCTCCAGCAGGAAAATTAAATTTTTGCGGCATCTGGCTGCTTGCTGCGAAAGCAGGCAGTGAGGAGCCCTTTCCCTGCAGCTCGCTGGGAGCTTTGCATGGCTCTGAGTGCGGCGGGTGCAACCCGAGCCTGGAGCAAACTCACCAGGGTGCACCAGCACCTGTGGGTGCATGCCGGCCCTGCTCCATTGAAGGCTGCTGCGGGCGCCTGGCTTCACGCATATCGAGTTGCCCGGTTTTCTGTGACAGAAATGCTCGCAGGCGTGAAGGACGGGGCGCCTGGCGGCACCTCACACCCAGGCAAGTTTGTGACAGGGACTGGTTCACCCTTGGGGACCACGGGGGAGGTGAAAGGGGACAGGCTGAGCCCTCAGCCCAGTTTCCACCGTGTGCATCCAGAGTAACTGCATGAGGAGGCAGGTGGCTGCTCTGGATTTACATGGGGTGAGCCGAGCTCAGAGCCCAGCCCTGGCTAGGATGAGGTGCTGTGTAGTGAGGGCTGGAGGCAGGGCCACACACAGCTCTCGAGAGAGGCCACTTTGGTTCATCTCCCGATTCAGCCAGCACGGGATAGCTAGAGCCAAGCGAGCTGTGTTGCAGGGTCACACAGAGAAAAAAGAAAAAAAAAAAAGGAAACCACACGAAAAGCCTTTTCTCTAACGTGTAGGGTTTTAAAAACTTGTTTCTTTCTCTTTTTTTAGAGAGCCTAAAGGTTGGGTCCTTAAGTGCCCGGCCGTGTCGCTTTAAGCCCGAGTACCTGGCGTGTCCAGTTTTAAAGCGCACTGCAGCCGTTGTGTGTCGGGGACGCACGGTCTTGGCCCAAAGCCTGGCTTTGCCGTCTCTGGCGGGCGAGCGCTCGGAAGGTTTGCGGTTGCAAATGCAGGCTGCGGGCTCAGCTGAGCCGTGGCCAGGGCGGGCGCGGGACTCGTCCAGCACTGGGGAGCAGTGTCTCTGACACGCCGTTCCCGCGGCCTGCCCCCACGTCCTCCTGCCCTGCTGGCGTCCCCCTGCTCCACACGAGGACTCAGGGCCACCCGTAGCCCATCTCCGGCCACCTCCCTGCTTCAAGGGCAGGGAGCCCTAGGGCATGATGATGCTGTTGCATAGCAGGAAAGCAGCTGTGCTGGCAGCCCGGCAGCCCCGTCCCTCGCTTGTTGGGTGCCCCGGGGCAGCCCTGTCCCCAGCTCAGCTAGCGCTGCCAGCCGCAGCCATGGGTAAAAGCAGGGCTCTCCAGGGAGACCTGTGGGTTTGCAACGATTTACACCAGCGAAGTGCCTCCGAACGACATTTTGGAGAGAATCAGTTGCTTTTCCTTCAGCTCCGGCACAGCAGCCGAGAAGCCTGACCTGGGTTAGCATCCTCTCACCCCATGCAGGGTCCCTGGGCTGAGCTGAATTAGAGCCCTCCCAGCCCCAGTGGAGTCTGTTTGCACAGGGTATTTCCCTGTCCGTGTCCTTCAGAGCTGCCCTGGGATTAGAACCAGCCCAGTCGGACAAGGTGGCATCGTCTCGGCAAGACATGAAGCAGCTCATTCCCAAAATTAGGAAGGTTTCGCAAAAGCAGCTCTTTCCTTGCCCTCTTTCTTCTGAGCTTTTGGAAAGCCTTGCACCTGGGGCCCAGGATGCAATCCTGAGTGACTGCTTTGTTCTCCTGCTGCGAGCCTTGGCCTTGGAGGCATTTTGGCTAGCTGGGTGGATGTATCTGTAGCTCCCTCCGGTGCTGACTGATAGTGAGAGTGAAGGGGATTCCTGGGTGCCCACGGGGTTTTGGCTCCCACTTCTGCACTGCCCACCATCACTGAGGGGCACCCCATCCCAGCAGGGTCGCACTTGCCTTGGGAGCCTCCGACCGCTGCTGTTAGCTCCACGCTTCCCGCTGACAACACCCAGCCACCGGCGAGGACAGGCTCTTCTCTGCGGGCGTCCTTCTGCACTGCTCTAGCGCCCATCCCTGGCAGGGCACAGTCCACAGGAAGGCAGGAGAGGGGGGACGAGCCGTGGGTTGGCATGGGGTTAGGGCTGGGGGGCTCAGAGAGGCAGGAAAAGTGGGGAGGAGGGGGGGATACGGCCCTGGACACTTTTCCTCCGTTTACCTGGCTCTGGGGTGTTTCTCCACAGAAAGAACGGTTTGTCAAACTCCTCGACCAGCTGCACAATTCACTGCGGATCGACCTTTCCATGTACCGGGTAAGCAACCTGCCGTGCCTCAGTTTCACCACCTATATAAGGAAGAGGAGGCTACTTTCTCCTGCTGGAAGAGCCAAGCATTTTGCCTGGGTTTCAGTGGCACCTGGGCTGGGTGACCACCTGGGTGGCTGGGTGCCAGCTGCCTGGCTCCATGTGGATCCGAGCCATGCTGGTTCACGTGCAGCCCGTCCTCTCATGCTCTGCATCTGATGGCTTTTTTCTCTCCCTTTGGCAGAATAATTTCCCCGCCAGCAGCCCCGAGCGGCTGCAGGATCTCAAATCCACAGTGGATTTGCTAACCAGCATCACCTTCTTCCGGATGAAGGTATTGCCTTCTCTCCCTGTCCCTCTGGAGGGGCAGCCTCACCCTCATTACCCTGGGGAATAGCCCCAGCGCTGCCCTCGGCTTTCCTGCTGTTGCCAGATTTGCATCTTTGGACCCCTCATGGCCCCAGGCCTGTCTCGGGTGACGGTGGGGAGCGTTGGCCTCATAGTGGTTCCTGGGCTCTCTGGGAGGCTGTGGGTCTGTCTCTAGCCACAGCCAATATAATTGGCTCCACATCTCACTCCCTGTGCAGGTCCAGGAGCTGCAAAGCCCACCCCGAGCCAGCCAGGTGGTGAAGGACTGCGTGAAGGCCTGCCTCAACTCCACCTATGAGTACATCTTCAACAACTGTCATGAGCTGTACAGTCGCGAGTACCAGACTGACCCGGTGAGCAATGCAAGGGGAGCTGGGACCTGCTGACCTTGCACACGCAGCCACCTCCGAGCACTCGGGGCCAGCCCTGGGCCACCAGCCATGGTGGTGACAATGTGGGGAGACCTGCCTGCTCTCCCTGCCTTCCTCTCCCTGTCCCTTTCCCTTCTCCATCACCCCATTGGATTCTTCCTTTCCTTCTCCCCCTGTCCTCTGCGCTGTTCCAGCCCTTCCCCGGGGTGCTCAGCCCCATGCAGAGCAGACCCCAAGTCTTGGGCAGGGTTCAAGCCCTCCTGCCAGGGAGTCGAGACTGGTCCCATGTCTCTGATGGACATGGGGGCTGTGAGGAGTCCCTGGATGCTTCCAGGTCCCTAGTGCCCCAGCAAGGACCAGCAGTGGCTGCTCTCCAGCCTCCCTGTTAGCCCCACCATGAAATCCAATCTCACAGAGTGTGGGGGTGACCAGAGTTTCCCCTGTGTCCCCATCACTCCAGACTAAGAAAGGCGAGGTGCCCCCCGAGGAGCAGGGCCCCAGCATCAAGAACCTAGATTTCTGGTCCAAACTCATCACCCTGATAGTTTCCATTATTGAAGAGGACAAGAACTCCTACACACCCTGCCTGAACCAGTGAGTAGATGTGAGAAACGGGCACCACACTCGGCTCTGGGGGGGGCATGATTGAATTAGTGCTTTGGAAATGGGTCATAACATCCATTTTACAGATGGGAAAACTGAGGTGGGGGAGAGGAGTTGGGGGCTGATTTACCTTCAAGCTGTACGGCAAGTTAGCTGCCACGCTGGGTAAAGACTCCAGGAGTTCCATTTCTGGACACAGTCACATGAGCCCAGCACGGGCAGCAGGCAAAGGAGTGCCATTAAGGTTGCCCAAAGTCCAGCGCCGTGCACCGGCCTCACCAGCCCAGGGACAGCTTGAGGACAGCCCTGGCCATGCTGTGGCTAACACGGTCCCCGCCATGGTCTGGCCCTGGCTGTGGGGACTTGTTCTCACGCTCTAGCTGTCTGATGAGCATGCTGTCCGCTCCACCCCAGGTTCCCACAGGAGCTGAACGTGGGGAAGATCAGCGCCGAGGTGATGTGGAACCTCTTTGCTCAGGATATGAAGTATGCGATGGAGGGTGAGTGTCCCTCAGTTCTCACTTGAATATTCACTGGGCAGGCTGCTGGAGCATGGGGGAGGCTGTTTCATTGCCTCTGTTAACATCGTGTTGAGTTTAAATCCCTCCCTAGAATCACCTACAGCCCAATTTGGCTTTGCCCTGTCACCTTGGCCACACCAGCCGCAGGTGTGGCCCTGGCGAGACTCCCACTTAAATCCCCGGTCCAAGGGATGGGGGCGCTCAAGACGACACAGCCCCATTGCATTCTCACCTTCCCTGCACAGAGCACGACAAGCATCGCCTGTGCAAGAGCGCCGACTACATGAACCTGCACTTCAAGGTGAAGTGGCTCTACAATGAGTATGTGACTGAGCTCCCCTCCTTCAAAAGCCGTGTGCCTGAGTACCCTGCGTAAGTGCAGATCTCGGGGCAGGTACAGGGAAGGGTGCTGTTTGTGGTCATGTTGCGACAGCTGTCCCCCCACCTCACTGGGCCGTGTCCTGGCTACCCTCACTGGGGACACGCTTCTCTTCCAGCTGGTTCGAGCCCTTTGTGATCCAGTGGCTGGATGAGAATGAAGAGGTGTCGCGGGATTTCTTGCATGGAGCGCTGGAGCGGGATAAGAAAGATGGGGTATGATGGGAGCTGCGCTTGTCTCTAACCCAAGCCCAGCACCAGGCTTGCTCTTTCTACCCAGCAGATAGATGGGTCCCTGGGCCAGTGCAGCCTGGGGTGGGTGACAGAGGCTTGTCCCCTTGGCCAAGGGACCCCCTGTGCTACTGGCTCATGCTCCCTCTCCCCTCTGCAGTTCCAGCAGACATCTGAGCACGCGCTCTTCTCCTGCTCCGTGGTGGACGTCTTCTCTCAGCTCAACCAGAGCTTTGAGATCATCAAAAAGCTGGAGTGCCCCGACCCCCAGATCGTTGGGCACTACATGCGGAGGTTTGCAAAGGTGGGGAACTGCCGCACTTGCCCTAGGCTCTGCCTACCACATCTGGGCACGTACCTCAGTGCGTGAGGTACAACCTGCCTCCAGCAGCAATGCTTGAATGAACCTTCCCCCCACCCCGAGACCCTGTGGCGCTCTCTCAGCTTTGCTAGCGTGGGAGAGTTGCTAATTAATGAGTTAATTGTTTAATTAATCTAGATTAATTAAATGCCACCAGCTCGCTGCAGCATGGGAGGGGAGTGGTGGGCAGGTGGGCAGGCAGTGGTGGCAGCAGTAGTGGAGGATGCCTTTGTGGCCATGCCAGTGCCAGAGCTGCCTGTGGCCACCTGCTGAGATCAGACAAGCTTGGTCTGTCTGGAAGCAGCTGTGCCCATGTGGGTCTCAGTACCTCTGTGGGATGTAGGGCCTGGAGGGCCCACAGCAGATCTGGCTGTGCTGCCATGGGACTCACTGTCTCCTTCCCTCCATCCTTCTTCTTGTCTCTCTTCCTCTTCCTCTTTGCTACTCTCTGGGCCTGTCCTATCCCTCGTGTGGCTGCAGACCATCAGCAACGTGCTACTCCAATATGCTGAGATCATCTCCAAGGATTTCGCCTCCTACTGCTCCAAGGAGAAGGAGAAAGTGGTGATGTACCCTCTTTTCTTTTTGGTTGCCAGGCACTGCCTGGCAGAGCCATTCCCTTACGGTGACCCTAGCTGTGATTTCAGAGCCAGAGCTGATCCTCACTGTCACCAGTCCTGCCCTTGATCTCTATGTCGGATGGCTCAAAGGAGGCCTGGTAACCTCCAAAATACTACCATGCAGGGTCTATGCTGTGGCTGGTCTGGGCATCTGTGCTCTGTGCGTGTTCCCTTCTCTGAAATGGAGATGCCAAAACAAACAGGTGGGGTGGGAGAGATCCTGGTTTTGTGGCATGACCAGCCTTGCTTGGTGTCTCTGAGGTGCGGATGATGGCGTGGATGCTTGTTCCTATGACATTGCAGTGGCTGGTGCTGACCCCTCTCTTCATCCTGCCCCTCCAGCCCTGCATCCTGATGAACAACATCCAGCAGCTCCGTGTGCAGCTGGAGAAGATGTTTGAAGCCATGGGGGGGAAGGAGGTATGTATCAGGAGTCCCCAGGGGGGAGCCCTACAGAGAGGCTGAATCAGTCTCATCTCCCTGGGGGCAGCCCCTTTCCCAGCTCCACAATGCTGGGGGGATGCTGGGGTAGGGGCAGACCCTATTTTCCTCTCATTTCATGATTGCCTAGGATCACCCTGTTCCAGCCCATGGCACCCTGCTCTCCTACCAGATTGGACCAGGGATGGGCTTTACCTTACCCAATGGTTCTGTTGGGGTGCAGAGATCATCCAGGGTTGGGTGAGGGACCCTGATGTCTTCTCCAAACTGTCTCCTTCTCCAGCTGGACACAGAAGCCAGTGATATCCTCAAGGAGCTGCAGGTGAAACTCAACAATGTCCTGGATGAGCTGAGCCGAGTATTTGCCACCAGGTACCTCTGGGCAAGGGGATGAGGGCTGTTGGGCAGGGAGAGATTTTGGGGTTCTGAGAGCTACGGCTGGGGCCAGGCCAGGGGCTCTGCTCAGCTGAGCCGAGGCTGGGCAGGTCCTGGGCAGCCCCACGTGGCCGTGTGCCTGTGGGATGCTGAGCTGTCTGGGCATTGTGGCCCCCAGCTTCCAGCCACACATCGAGGAGTGCGTGAAGCAGATGGGCGACATCTTGGGCCAGGTGAAAGGCACTGGCAACGTCCCTGCCAGCACCTGCAGCAGCGTCGCACAGGACGCTGACAACGTCCTGCAGCCCATCATGGACCTCCTAGACAGCAAGTGAGTGTGGGGGACAACAGTGCCCGTACAGGGACTACCATGACACCTGGGCTGCCCCAAGCCACGCTGAGAGAGATGGGGACCCACAAGGGGCTGAGGTATCCCAATATCCCATGGGGACAGTGGGGCCCTTGATGTGGCCGTGCAAGGGGTGACATCAGTGTGCCACACCCAGACCTTCAGCCCTGTCCCCTCTCTGCAGCCTGACCCTCTTTGCCAAGATCTGCGAGAAGACGGTGCTGAAGCGCGTGCTGAAGGAGCTCTGGAAGCTGGTGATGAACACGATGGAGAAGACCATCGTCCTGCCCCCGCTCACCGACCAGACGGTGAGTGCTGGGGAATGGCGACCAGGATGGGGGACCGTGGAGCTGAGCTGTAGGAGGCTGATGTGGGGTTATGCCCTGTGCGTGGGTGGCCTATGGGGAGCATCGTTGGCCAGAGCCCTTGCTGGCTGTTGAGGGCATGGGGGCTTTGCTTGCCTCCTCAAACCTACCTCCAGCTCATGGCTGAGAAAGGGATGGAGGAGGGAAAGGTCCATGCACAAGCCGGGTGCCCAATGCGATCCATCTGATTTCACCAAAGGACTATCACCCTCCTGCCATCCCTGTTGTAGCACCAGATGGGGGAAATTGGTCCTTTCTTCTCCAGCCTTCCCCTCTGAGCTGAGGGCACAGCATCCCATGCCATGCCCCTTCCGCACTGGGCTGTGTGGTCACTGTCCCTGCGCCAGGAGGTAAACCTGGTGACTCTTAGGGTGCAGCGAGCTATGGCATGTCAGCATCACTGTGAGGCTGGTATTGCTCCAGGGAACAGGGTGTGGCTTCTCAAGGGTTGAGGGGTGATGCAGGGACGGGGAGTTTCCCTGCACTGGGGCTGAATCCTTGCTCACAGCCTGAACTGATCCAGAAAGACCTGGGGACAGAGTAAAGCCTGAGGAATCGTCATTCATCCGAGAGAGACTTTCTGAAGGCTTCGAGGCGCCGTTTTGCATCATTGTGTCTGTGTTCCCTGCGTGTAGCAATATACCCCAAGGCTTTGTGGGGCAGCCGCCCAGCACCCATCCCGATAGCTTTTGGCGGGGGCTTCTGTTCTCTTGGGGTCTAGCAGGGAAGGGTAAGGTACCCCTCCACTGGGACCATTGACACCAAAGGCTCTGGGCCAGCCACACAGCTGTCCCTGTCACTCTCAGTGGCTTTTGTTGTTGTCATGGAGCTGGGATCCAAGACCCCTAGATGGGCTCTAACAGGGAGCCCCTGGAGCCGCCGGCCGCTGTGTCACCTCTCCCAGTCCCCCAGGGCCGTGGGGCTTCTCGCCCTGTGTGTGTAAGGGTCAGTGTGTGTTTCTCTCCAGCCCTCTGCAGCAAGGTGGCCTGACTTTGCCACTGCCAGCTTGCACCTTGTCCTAGCCCAGAACACGGCTCAGGCCAGCCTTGCAGGGAGCAAGGGCATGGGGCTCCCACACAACAGCATCACTTCTGGCCAAGATTATGCACTCTTGGCCAAGACGATCAAAGCTCCAGTGCTAGTGAGGACCACAGCACCACTGGGTCAGCGTCCCAGTCCCGGTCCCCATGCCTTGCCTGCCATGTGTGGCTGTACCTTGCTCTGGAGGCAGTGAGCCCTGTGCCACAGGGAGAGGTGGCTCGCATGGATGTGCAGATGGTTTAAAATGCCGCTGGGCACTTTTTCCCAATTTTTTTGAATTTTTGCTAGAGGGTGGTCTTGCTGCAGGGTAGTGCCCCACTGGGAGGTCTGTCTCTGGATTCTGGCCTGTAGATGGGCTGAGCCAGCTGGAGGCTGGATGCTGGAGCTGCACATTGAGTGGATTGAGTGGGCTTTTGCTTTGCATCCATGACCTGCCTTGAGCTGGGTGGATGTCAGCAGGGCTCGTCCCGGTGCATTGTCCCATGAGCCACCCTGACATAGCCATCTGATTGGGAAGGACCAGGAGGGGTGGGATGGGACCAGGTCGGTGCCGTGGAAAACAGAGATGCTGGCAGCAGGGCAGGGGCACGGAGAGCTTCGGTGCCCAGCGTCAGCTCCGAGCGTGGGATGCCTTTGTGGCTCTGCTGGTCCCAGGCTGACGGGGAGGGCAGCTGGGACTGGGGCTAGCCTGGGGGCAGCCAGGGGTTGGGGGAGGGACGCAACACTCATGTGATGGTTGTTCTCTCCAATTGTTCTGCTCACCTCTCAATGGCAGATGATTGTAAGTACGGCAGCTCCCTGTCTGTCTATCTGTCTGTCTGCTATGTGTGGGTCCCGACCTCGCCGGTTCTTGTCTTGTGTGGCTGCCCGCGCCCTCCCCTTGCCCTCCTCCAGCTCCCAACTCACTTCACCTCTGTAGTCACCTGTCCTCTTGCTGCCTGCTTGGCACCAACTCCGGCTCCCGGTGGGGAGCCCACCCGTGGCCCCAGGCTGGGCTGGAGAGGTGGAAGGGTCCTGGACACACGTGGGGCGGCTGGATTCGTTGGGTGGTGCAGTGTCAGTGATGGACTGGGAGGGATGGAGACATGGGGGGGCAGTGGTGGGGATGCAGCTGGGACAGTGCCACGTATTCAGGGCCAGCCAAATCCAGGCTGATCCCATCTTCTTGCTCTGTGATGGAGATGACAGAGGTCATTAGAAATGCAGGCAGGAGAGCAGTATATGAGGCAGATGTGGCTGCTATTCTGGGCCCATTGTGCCTCTGTTTCCCTATGGGGCAGTGGCAGAGTTATGGCCATGCCAGGAGAAGGGGGGAGGGGGGAGGTTACTGAGGGCAGAGGCTTTCCCAGCCTGTGGTGAAGAGCATCTCACTGGGACACGGAGGTCCCTGGCTGAGGCCGATCAGTGATCAGGGTTGCAGCTTGCCAACAGGAACTGCAAGGCTTTTCCCCTGGTTGAGATACAGGACTGGGAGCCCAGACTCCTGGGTCCCCTTCTCAGCACTGCTGCTGGTTCTTTGCACAGCTTTGACTGAGGGATTTCCTTCCGTTGTCTTCTGCTCAGTCTGTGACAGTGTGTTCATGCCCTGTGGGCGTGGGAAAGGCTACTTCCAACCCCTAATCCTGCCATCGCCTAATCTGAGTGCCCTGAGACCGCTGGCACCTTCCTAGAGAGGAGCAGGAGTGCTAGGCACCTGGTGCCAGGTGCTGGGTACCAGCCACTCACCTCTCTGGTCCCTGCAGGGGACAAATGTACTCTCCTCTTTGCCCCAACACCTTTAATTTCCAAATTATATGAAAGATCCCAGCGACAGCCCCCAGACCTCGTGGGCACTCAGCATGGGTGCTGGGGTCCAGCCCAGGTCACCTTCATTAATACTGGGCCATCTCCTGCTCCTGCATCAGGCAGAGCCCCAGCAAGCGGGGCTGGATGGTGGCTGCAGTGGGGGGACCGCAGTCCCTGGGGCTCTATGGCCACTGCAGCAGTGGAGGGAGGGGGGTGGCAGCTCTGCTTGACCCCACGGGGGTCCCAGTGCTGCAGGGTAAGAGCTCCTCCTGCTCCCCCAGCACTGTGTGCCTCAGTTTCCCTCCAGAGCAGGACACCCTCAGGGAAACCCCCCTCACTTCCCTGCCAGATGGGGCCCCTCCCCATTCAACCATGCCGCAAACACCCTGAGAGACTGGTTAGAAACCCCCAAGGGGCACTTCTGCCTCATTTTAAGCTCTTCTCCCCTCACCATCAGCACAGGGCCATCACCGAGCCCAGAAATCTGCACCCCGCGAGCAAAATGCCAGCACGTGTGCTCTCACGAGTGCTGGGAGTGCCCATCCATGGTCCAAGGGCAGCATCTCTGGGGCTGGCCAAGTGCAGCACCTGCATCCCCGGCATCCCAGCGGGGAGCAGCCCCCGCTGGCCCTGGCCCTTCCTTTGGAGCTTGGCAGTGTCTTTGCCACTAGCCCACGGATACTACCCTGTGTGCCTGGCCTTGCCCTGTGACACAGCCCCTCCCCCCCCAGCCATGTCCCGTCACGTGCTGTCCCCCCCATGCCGCCGCTCAACCTCTGACATTGCTTCTACAGGGCACGCTCTTGAGAAAACATGGCAAGGGGACAGAGAAGGTAAATAGCCTGTGGGCTCCTGTGTGTGTCATCACCCCATGGCCACCTGCATGCCCCCGCCGGGGCAGAGCCGGCTGGCGCAATGGGGGGTCCGGGCTTGTCTGTGCTTCCTCTGTCGTGTTGTCTGGATGTGCCGTTGCCTGCGTGGCGTGTTGTTGTGTCGAGGTGTGCAATGTTTGGGCCGTGTTGCCTGTGTGTGGGCTGGGGGCACAGTGACCCGTGTCTGTGTTTCGTGATGGGGGCGAGGGGGACAGTGGGTGCTGTGGTTGCTTATCCTGTATGGGTGAGTGTTGAGGGTGCTACTTGCTCCCTGGGCATGAGTGGGGGGCACTGAGCCACAGAGCAGGGCTAGGGCAGCTCAGGATCCTGTGGCGTGGCATAGGAATGGGGACAGTGACAGGGACATGGCCCCACTGCTCCCCAGGGTGCCTGTGGAGTCAGTCCTCTGCAGGCTGAGCATAGCACAAGCTGGTCACCAAACCCATCCTATTGCCTGGGCCCTCAGTAAGAGATGGCACCC